GGGTGAAGGCTGAGGTCAGTCAGAAATTCATGTCTCCACATAAGGGGGGAGGCAACGGCTGTTCCACAGGTCCTCATTGTTGCTTCCAGGGCACACTTTTCCCTCGTATGGTGCCTGTAACCTTCGGCCCTTTGTCCTGACCTCCCACTGATCTGGGATGCTGCAACCACCGGGGCTTGGCTCAGGATACAAGTAACCTGACTCTGCCCCATGTCACCCCTTATGGCCTCCAGAGAGGAAGGCCCCACAATGAGTGCCTCAGGCCCTCCAGGTCCAGCCCTGCCAAAGGCCTAGTGTCTAAGAACCCTGGCATCCACCTCTTCAGACCTAGGCACAGGCAGCAGCGGGTCTGCAAGGGGCCGTATGCACAGGCGTGGACGTGCTGTCCTGTTTGTCCTTTGTTCCCTGAGGGCCAGAGGAGCTGGCCTGCTCTCTCCCAGGAAAGGTTCAACGTATTCTTCTGGCTGCCCTTTATTAGGTGATGCTGACAGTTTTATTTGTGTGACAGGTGCTTGCAAATTGAAACAGCTTCTGGGACCTACATTGGCCCCTTGCCCTCATGGGGCCTCAGTTTCCCCACCTGTCATGGTGGACTGGACTCCGAAGTGTCCTTTCACCTCAAGGTGTCCCATGCCCCCCTCCATGTCCCTGGCCCAGCCTGTACTTGTACAGCCAAGTCTATCACTGATTCTTTCTCTCCAGGCACTATTCTGGCAGTTGACTCCACCCAGCTGGTGGCAAGCAGCCCTGACCCTTGCAAGGGTGCTGCCTGCTGTGCTGAGTCTCTGCATTGCTACAGGGATGAGGGGCTAGTGGGGTCGACTTTGGTAGGCTGGGGAAGTTGGGCTGAGAGAAGGCCCTCAAGGTAGCCCTGGGCACTGTGCTGTATGAGTGCCACTAATGTGGCCACATGACCTGTACTCTGCCTGCTGCTGTGTGCCCGCATCTGAGCTCTGCACACCTCTCTGCTTCTTTTTGCCTGTGAAAAACAAACACACTGGGCAGCCAGGAATCAAGCAGTGAGGAAAAGCTGACTTATTTCTACAGTTGCTGGGCCCCACTGCCTCTACCTGCTCCCCTTAGAACCCCGGGGACTGGGGCCCAGGCCGGCCTGACCCTTCCTACGTGCTGTGCCTTGGATACTTAGGCCCTGCCTTCAACCACCCTCCAGATCAGACTTCAGGCACCTGGTACCTTCCAGGTATAGATTCCCAGCCAGGCGTGAGTGGTTTTCATTCTGCCCTTGTTCTCAGCCAGAGTGGTTGTGAGTGGAGACTAGATCGCTAGTCTGTAAGCTAGTGTTTGGGTACCTGATGGCTTTGGAGTGGCTTCTCACTCCTTGTCAGCTGGCTACACCAGCTCTACCACTCTAATTGTGTGACAACAGGCAACCCCCCCAGCCATTCTGAGCCCCAGCTTGCACTTCTATGAGATGGGTCTGGGCAGAATTCATGAGACTGGCCAGGTAAACTGGCTTGTGTTGTGAGCAGCAGAGGGCCTGGGAGGTCAGTGCTAGTCACACCAGCTTTTTCTGCCCTTCCCTTTTCTTCCCAGTGGGCTCTGGGATAACTACAGTCTATGGTTCTGCTGGGTTCAGCAGGAAGCAGAGGAACCTAGGTCAGAGCCCCAGAGCCCCAGGTCCCCCTACAGGGAACCAGCTGCTTCCGGCCAGCCTTGAATTAATGGCTTTTAATTTAGAATTTAATCAATGCAGCTTCTCTCCAGAGACCTGTATGCTTCTGTCTGGGAGTGAGTTGTATCATCTCTGAGTGGGGCGGGCTGGTGGCCCATTATGGCCTCACCATGCAATTGCACTGGCTCCACTCTGACCTTGCTCTGCTTTGCCTGCAGCCAGCAAGCATCCCAGTCATGGAGGACTGCAACATGCACTCAGCTGCGAGTATCTTGGCCTCAGTGAAGGAGCAGGAGGCCCGCTTTGAGCGGCTGACAAGGGCGCTGGAGCAGGAGCGACGCCATGTTGTCCTACAGCTGGAGCGAGCCCAGCAACCTGGTGTGGGCACTGGTGGCATGGGCAGTGGGCAACCCCTGCCAATAGCCTGGCAACAGCTGGTCCTGCAGGTAACAGCCCAGTGACTCAGAAAACATGAAAATGGCCAACTGGGGAAACAATCAAGGGGCCCTAGTGGATCACAAGCCAGCATTCAGTGGCTTACTACGAGACTTTCTGGGCCTCTGGGGAGGGAAAGAAAGTGGGATACCAAGGGAATTGGATGTCTCATTTGGTTGCAGGGCACCACATGATGAATGGGTGGGACATAGCTTGACCTCAGAACAGTACCCTCCCCAGCTGAGTGAGCCCTCAGGACCTAGGGAGCTGGACAGGGTCTGTTCTGGGCAGTTCAGCCGTCAGCCTTGAGACACTGAGGATCGTGCCTGCCCTGGAGTCTTCCTGGCATGGTGGTAGTCTTAATATGCTAGAGGGGTAGTCCCAGAAGAAGGGTTGAGTAAGGCCCCAGGCTCTGCTTGCAGCTTAGAGGGTGACCTGGGAGTTTCAATTTTCCTATTGGCCATTGCCCTAACCTGGGCTCAGGTTCCTACTCAGCTCCAGGAGGTGTGGAGTCCTACCTGTCCTGTGAATAGGCTCTGAGAACTCTAAAGTTGGAGCATGTACATAGGAGTCAGATCACCTGATCCCCTCCACTCCCAACTAATAATTACCCTAGTGACTAGCCTGCTCACAGGGTGACAAGAGCACCTGGCTCATGGGTTGACAGAATGAGGAAACCTGGGAGGCCTGGAGTTGGTGGGATTATTGCATTTTCAGTTATTGACTGAGGCACAGGGTAGGGGATAGCCAGGGCAGAGCTGTCCTAGGAGCCACAGGAAGGGGAGGGCTTTTGGATAGGGGTCTGTCCGGCAGGCCTCCTACAGTTACTCCTCCACACTACCAGACTCAGGCCTGGGGACTCAATGCCCGCTGAGACCTCTGGATTCCACAGAGTAACCCAAGCATTCTTTGTTCCTCTGGCTTAGGTCCCTAGGCAGGGGGTAGTGTTGCCCTCCTTAATCTTACAGATGGCCCCCATCCCAGTGTCATCCCCACTATAGGCACACCCTCCCTTCTTAGGTCTTGTTGAACTCTAGCTCCCAGGAACCAGACAGGCTACCTACTGGCTAGCACATATGTGGTGGCAGCTTGGGGCAGCCTGACACCTGTGTCTGGAGAGAAAGAGAGCAAAGTGATGATCTTGCTGACCCTGGCTAGCCACAATCCCACAGGCTCAGAGAAGCAGCTATGTCAGCCTGGAGGACCCCAAAAGTGACCACCCCCATACCTTCATATCCTCATTTGCTAGTGTGTGGTCCACACATATAGCCCACTGTGGTACACAGTTGGAGCTGAAGATGTGTCTTCAGAGGTCCTGCACCCACCAGCAGCCCCCACCATTGGGCCTGAGGTGGGTCTCACAGTGCACAGAAGGCAGGGACTGAGGTGGGGTGGGTCTGAGTTTGAGGACCATCTCTACTGTCCCCTGGATCCCAGGGTGAGGGCTGGCACTCCCAAAGGCCCCTGGAGAGGAGTGAAACAACACAGCTGGGCCACATGGGCCGGCTGTGTTGTTTTTGTACATGGGGTGTTGTAGAGCCAGAGTGGCCCAGCAGAGCCTCAGTTTTCTGACTGGAGCCTGGGGAGAAGGAGGCAGGTGGTCCAGGCTTCTTCTCTTGCCCTACCCACTGAATCTCCTTGGAAGTCTACCTTGGAACCCAGTATCCTTGTTCATGATGTAAGTGTCACTGAATCTTGCCTTGCTGGGGAATGACCCAAGAGGTTGCCCCAGCCCAGCCCAGCCCTTGCCCTCAAGCAGAGCTAGACTTCCCATTATGGGACTGCATCTTCACACCAAGCTGCCAGCATGGGCTGTGGAGGAGTGTACCCTGGTAGGACTAACCCTTATTAACAAGACACTCTGACTCCCTGCACCCCCCAATTCCCAGTAAACCGAAAGCATGGAGGAGAGAGGGTCTGAGGCCAGCTCAGCCTCCTGGGCTTTTAGGCCAGAGTCACCCAACAATTATGCACCCCCACCCCCACCACTTAATCGGCTGACAAGCTATGATGAGGAGGTCCCTGGGCCTCTGTGTTGATGGGTAGAACTCAAGACACAGTGGGTCAGTGCAGGGCCATTTGTCAGGTCCCCAGTGAGCTCTGTGTAGATAACTCTGGCTCTACACACTCCATGTACATAAATGGCCCAGCTGGCCCATGTGGCTCAGCTGTGTTGTTTCACTCCTCTCCAGGGGGCTTTGGGAGTGCCAGCCCTCACCCTGGGATCCAGGGGACAGTAGAGATGGTCCTCAAACTCTGACCCACCCCACCTCAGTCCCTGCCTTCTGTGCACTGTGAGACCCACCTCAGGCCCAATGGTGGGGGCTACAGGATCTCTGAAGACACATCTTCAGCTCCAACTGTGTACCACAGTGGGCTATATGTGTGGACCACACACTAGCAAATGAGGATATGAAGGTATGGGGGTGGTCACTTTTGGGGTCCCCCAGGCTGACATAGCTGCTTCTCTGAGCCTGTGGGATTGTGGCTAGCCAGGGTCAGCAAGATCATCACTTTGCTCTCTTTGGGGTATCATGCTCAGGGTGGGTGGGGCCTGGGATAAGGAATGGGCAATCTTGTAGTGCTGCCTTGGTGGTGACTGCCTCATAGGCCCCCATCTCACAGCAAGCAGCTAGGATGAGCAGCTGGTGCCAGGGAACCTAACTGGCCCCTGCTCCATCAGAACTCAGTTTCCTCAGATCTACAGGGGAGGAGGTGTGTGAGCTTTTCCACTGGGCACAGAGGCCTGGAAAGGAGGACTTTCAGAGTCATCCCTGCACGGGCTGGAGGTTGAACCCCGGACTCACTGCAGAAGAGGTAGGGGCGACCCCGACTCCGCCCCATCGGGTGCCCGCCCCGCCCCGCTTGGGCGCGGCCCCGCCCGATTGGCTGCTCGCTGTGACCGCCGCCAGATCCGCCCCCGCGGGTGTGAGTCCGCTGCGCCTGAGCCGGAGTGGCCGAGGTGCCAGAACCCAGCTCGGTCCAGCCGTCGCTGTCGCTTCCCCGCGCCCCCCTTCCCCCAGACCGAGCCGGCCTGATGCCGGCCGAACTCAAACAGGTTGGAGGGAACTTGGTCCCGGGCAGGGGGGCACAGAAGGGGGCCCTGCTGCGGAGGGCGGGGCACCAGCCTTCCCGGGAGGACCTGCTTTTGTTCTGTGGAGCCGCAGGCTGGAGGCGGCTATTGTCTGCGCGGGTGGATGGACTGAGCAGCGCACTGTTCTGGGGTTGTGCAAGACTCCGGGCGGGGCTGCTGGGTCTCTGGATCCCCTAGCCGGGGGTTGGGCCCTGGGCCCACTGGGGGTGCCACCCTGCACAGGACGGGGAGCAGGGCCAGGACCTTGGTAGGCACAACCCCTGGCCAGCGCACAGGACAGGTGTCGGGACTGGTGGAGGGCGAGGGCCTCCCTGAGCATCCCCTCTCTGCTGGAGGGAGGCCGAGTCTGGAGAAGGAAGCTCAGCTAGGGCTCCTGTTCCCTGTGAGCTCGCTGGGCTTCCCCTTCCTCCAATACTCCCAGCGCGGCCTCTGACTCTGGGGACCTGCAAGCAGCTTCCTCTCCAGAGCTTTATGGGAATCCTTGTCTGTCCCGGCAATGCACATAAGGGGAGGGCTGGAGAACGCCCTGCCCACAGTGCGGGAAGCTGGGTGGGGGCGGGGGCAGCGGTGTCTCAGGAAAACCCCAGTATTCCACCACATAGTACTGGAGGTTGGGGGGAAAGGCATGTGGGTCACTCTCTCTTATTCAGAGGGGGAGCCTTTGTAGTAACAGTTAAGTAAACTGAGCGGAGGAGCAACCCCTTGTGGCTGAGTTATGCCTCCCCCACACATGCCTATCCTGACTATCTGGTCCCTGCCTGCTGTGTGTCCCCTACTCAGCCAAGATTTGGCTATTAACTGCCCCAAAGATGGAGGAGCCAGATGCTGGGACCTGGGTAGAATTGGCTGGTAGTATTGTTAATGGATGTGGGCTTGACTTTGGGAAGCCAGAATGGGTGACAGTCCTGTTTTTCCCACAAGTTTGTTCTCTTAGCTGCTAAGCACTCACTATCCCTTGGCCACTTGCCCAGTCAGTGTGGGGCTACACCCTGGCAGGTGGACTGCTGTTGCAGAGGGGTGAGCCCCTGTTCCACCAGGGCTGGGCAGAGGCATGGGTACCAAGGGAGAATGCATCCCTGGTAGCCAGGGATTTGTTCCCTAGTAAGAGATGCCAGCCTGGCTTGGTCTGGATTCCATCTGGATGGCCACAGTGGGTGGGGTGGTTGGTGCTCTGCTAACTCTTCCAATCATTTGTCTAGTGGCAGCCACCTGCCCTCTTGAGGGCCTGAACCCAGGGTTGTGGGAGTCAGGTATGGGAATCCTACCTTAACCCATCCTCTGTGTGTGCTCCCAGGGCTGTAGACAAGCTGAGGTACTTGTAGTGTTCATGATACAGACTCCAGGTGCTCATCTATCAAATCCAGACAGCGCAAGTAGAAACCCTAGTTCTTCCCCCTGTCCGTATTATAACTTGTTTTTTTCTGACTATTATCACATGTACCCCAGGGGTTGTGTGGGCTTTTGACCAAGCGGTGGCCTTCTGTTCATTGTTCCCCATGCCCCTCCCTGGCCCAAAGGTGAGTCTCGCACTATTTTCCCTGTCCCATGGTTTTTACACCCTGTGTTCTTTCCATTTCCATTCGAGGAAGCCAGGCCCTCAGTGTGTGATAGGGCCCAGGGCCTTCCTACTGTTCCTGGAGCTCTGTCTCCAGGAACCCCCTTGACAGCAGTAGCATATGGTTGTGTCCACCTTTCTGGGGTACAGGCCACTCCAGTCCCCAGTTTAGAGTACGGGGCCAGAACTCTGCTATAAGTTCAAGGGATCTTATTAGCAAACCCCAGACTTAGCAACTTGTTCTAGGCTAGGCATGGGGACCATTCCTAGGACCCAGGTAGGCTTTGGATGGATTTGGGCCCTGGAGATAGGTGATGGGAGACTGGGGCAGTCAGTGGTCCCAGAAGGGCACAAGGATGAATCCAGGGCCTGGGAAGGATAACAAGAGACAGCTAACAGGTTTGGCAGGATTTGGGAGGTTGGGAAGGATGTATGGGGTGGTGTGTGTACGGTTGTGGGGAAGGCTGGTGCTGCAGGGCCAGGGGCTCCTGTGGGTGGGCTAGACTGATAGGCATGGAACATGGGATCTTTAGGCAGATGTTTGAGACCAGACGAGGATTCAAGCACCTTGAACAGCTATTTCAGTTGAGCATCATCTGTGTGCTGGTCACAGCCTGTGATCCCACATCCCCAACCCAAAGATGTTGCAGAGATTTGAGCCACAAGTCAGCCTTGCATCTCTTCATGATCTAGACCAGTTCCTCATCTGCTGCTAGCTCTGAAACTCCCATTGCAGACACTTGGGTAGGGGTTGAGGGGGTTCTGTGCACATGGGGAAGACAGGAGGAGGTGAGAGGGATGTGGGTGGGATAGTGGGCACCTGGTAGTTACCAGGAGAGAGACAGACTGACATGCTTGATCCTATGGCTTGGGCCAGGCTCAGTGTTCAAGCATGCTCATGCACACATTCTTGTCAGGGGGACCAGGTACATGCACCACCTGTGTGTCCAGGCCCAGGCATGTGTAAAAGGCCAGGCCTTCTAGTGATCACCAGCTGACTCACACTCCTGCCTGCCTGCCTTCCTACCCTGGTGAAGTCATCTCTCAGTTTTTAGCTCCCTGAGGTCATTTGCCAGCAGGGGCTCTTGGGGCCTCAGGATCCTGCAACCGGTTTGCTTGGGCTGGGTGTTAATGGGTACCTCTGCAGGGTAGTCAGGCTTTATTGGGAGGCCCTAGCTCTTTTGGGCTCCCACTTTCCTGACTCAGCAGGGTAGAATGAGAATAATCAGCAGAGCTACAGAGTGGCATTGAAGTTGAGAAGTACTTCCCCTGCCCTCACTGTCTAGCTAGTGAGGGTACTTTTCTCTGAAAGTGTTAATGTATGCAAACCAACTAAGGAACCATATCTGGCTGACAGTGTTTTGGGCAATGTCCTGGTTCCCTCATGCAAGTCTTGCTTCCTTGCCCTGCCTCCACACTTGCAGCTAGCAGAGTGTTCCCCTCACTCCTCCCAGCTCTGACTGGCCCCCTGGAGCTCAACAGGTTGCTCACTGCCGGCCACACATATGCTCCCACAGTTGCCAAATACAGATGAGACAGCTGAGACCCCAGTGGTGACAGGTTGTCTCTGAACTTTATTCTGTTCAGGCTGTCCCAGCTCCCAGTGCCCTAGGGGACGAGCCCAGAGAGCCCACTAGCATGTTATTTCTCTTTTCCTGGAATAGTGTTTTTCATTCCTAGTCATGTCACCAACAGACATTCCATCCACAGCTAAGGCTGTGGCCCATGAAGGGTTAGGTGTGATTAAGACTTTGCAAAACTGCCTTTTTTGTGGATGCCTGGAATTCTGTTAGCAGTTACTGAGGTTCTGGGTAAATTTTTTTCACTCTGTTAGGCCTCATTTTCTCACTTTGTAAAATCATATATGGTCCTCTGAGACCTTGCTTCTGGGGAAGGAAGGGTGCATTCTGTGATCTCTTCTTACCGTAGACAGAGGTATGCAAGACCCTTTCCTGGACCCCTTGAAGAAGTCACAGGGGCCCAGAACCTCAATATTGCTTACAGTTAAGTAGAGGGCAGGTGTTCCTTCAGGACAGAACCCAACCTTTTGAGGCAGGCCCTGAGGGCAGCTTTGCGCAGCTTCCCTTGCACACCTCCACAGCCCAGGGCTGGGAGCTCAGTGGGCTTTAGGAGCCAGGTGGATGTGGATGTGCATGTGAGCTATTAGTCTTGTCCAGGTTTCAGCTATGTCTGTGCAGGCCTCAAAGGCTGGGGCCAGGGCATGGGGCCCTTTCTGCAAAAGCTTCTGTTTTCCTGCTGACTTGACTTTGGCCACCTAGGAATGTGCTCTTCACTTGTCCAACTACCAAAGCTTGAGTTTCAGTCCCTGGCCAGATGCTGATCCCTGGAACCTTATGGTCATAGGACCAAGGGTTGACTGACCCTTAGAGGCCTGTGTCACTCAGCACAGCAGAGTTCTCGCTTAGCTCTGCTGTGGCCTGGGTGGTCCTCTGAGCCTCAGATTCCTCACTGGAAGGTTTGGCCAAAGGCATATAGGCCTTTCGAGGTCCTCTTTCTGTGTCCATCTTACCCACAATTCTACCATTGTTATTCCCTGTGTATAATGGCAAGGGGGCGGCAGGCTAAGAATGAGGTGAGACTTGGGGTTTGTTCAGGGAGTGGTACTAGGGTTTCTGCTAAAGACTAGCTAGGCTCCATTCTACATTCACTGGGATCCTTAGGATCTACATTCACTGGGATCTGATATGATACTCAGTGTCTTTTAGTGAGACAGGGCCAGGCCATTGTCCATTCAACATTGCAAGAGTGTTTGGGTCAGAAGGAGCAAGGGTATTTTGGCTTTCTGAATGCACAGAACATGCTGGGAAATGGGTATTTCTGTCTTGCTGGCCTTGGGGATGGTGGGAGCCTGGACACAACCACAGGAGTTGGTGAGCAGTGATGAAACTGCTGCTGCCAAACCTCTACACTCCAGGTTTTTGGGTAGGACAGGGAGGAGGCCCACAACAATGGGAGGCCCATTCAGAGGTGGCAAGTCATGTCAAGAAGGATCCTATATGTCTTACCCAGGCTTCCTTGGGAGCCTGACCTCACAACTCAGATGGGGCTGCCCAAGATTATACCACTGGAGTCTGGGGCCATATCTGCCATCTCAGCCCAAGGAGGCCTTTGGATAGGATAATAGGGTACTGTGAACCTTTGGTATTGAGGCAGGAATGTCCTACTGTCCTTACCAGCTTGGGCAGAGAAAGGTCCTGGGGTTGGTGGGTTCCAGGGGCAGGGAAAATGAACTCCTGGCATCCAGGCCAACTGGGGTATCTGAACTGCAGGGCAGGATGAACAGTGGGTTCTCCCAATGACACTTGCCCCCCTTGCCCAGGAGCAGAGCCGGGGAAGCCAGGCTTCTCTTGTTACAATGCCAGAGGCACCTGAGGTGCTGGAGGAAACAGTGACAGTGGAGGAGGACCCTGGCACACCTACCTCCCACGTATCCATTGTTACCTCAGAAGATGGCACTACCCGGCGCACGGAGACCAAGGTATGGCTGGGCCTAAGAGGTGGGTAGATAGACTATGTGGCTGCAGAGTGTGTGCATGTCCTCTCTCCTAGGGTCCACCCATTGTTTGGGTGGAAAACCAAGACCACTTTGGCCCTGCTCGGGCCATGTCTGGGCCTCTCAGGCTGTCCAACCTATCAACTGCCTGCTTATCTGCCAGGTCACCAAGACAGTCAAGACAGTGACCACACGAACTGTGCGCCAGGTACCTGTGGGCCCAGATGGCCTTCCACTCTTGGATGGTGGACCCCCGCTAGGCCCCTACCCTGACGGCCCCCTGGACCGGCACTTCCTGTTGCGTGGGGGTGGCCCAGCAGCCACACTATCCCGTGCCTACCTCAGCAGCGGGAGCAGCTTTCCTGATGGGCCTGAGCCCCATGAAGTCCCCAGCTATGGCAGCCTGTCCCGTGGGCTGGGTGTGCGACCTCCACGTGGTGGCCCCCTTGGCTCAGGTCCCAGTGAAGGCTGCTTCACACTGCCTGGGCGTCGTGAGACGTTTCCAGTGGGCCCTGAGCCAGTGACTCTGGCTGGCCGCTCTCAGCCTGAGCACTTCCAGGCAGAGCCGTATGGCCTGGAAGATGACACTCGAAGCCTGACTGCTGATGAAGAGGGTGGCCCAGAACTGGAGCCTGACTACGGCATTACTGCCCGGAAGATGCTTGACTGTGGACGAGGCTTTCGCACCAGGTGAGCTTCCTGTGCCCACACCACGTTCAGGAAGTCTCCCTTCCACTCTTCAGAGTGGGGGTACCACAGAGTTGTGCTCCACAGGGAGTAGAGCTCCTAGTAGGCGGAGCTAGTCACACACAGCTTAGTTTGAATTGGCCTCACCTTATTTCAAGGACTGAAGCAAGGGCAGGCCCTGGGGTGATGAAAGTTGCAGGGGATCTGGGCATGAGAAGTTGGTGACAGTGCACTGCCCCTGTGCCAGCTAGATGGCCATGAAGACTTGAATACAAGAGGCTCAGGGTATGTTTCTGAGTGTGAAACTTCATATTCTCTCCAAGCTTTAGTATCCCTTATACACAGAAGCAACCAGAATCCAGGTCCCCTTGTCTTTCCAAGCCTACTCTCTTGTTCTGTTTCCCCTGCTGTCAGTTTCTTTATGCAGCGAGGCAACATAATCACAGCCTGAGTCTGGATTGCACTGTGACCAGTGTGAGACACCTATCCTATCCTAGCCTCAACCCCTCCCCTGGGAAGCCAGTGTGATGGTGACAGTTTACCAGGTCAACTCACCCTGATGGTGTGACTGCCCCTTAGATGACCCCACTGGTACAGGCTTCCTGGGAAGGTGGGTCCCCAGTCATGAACAAATACTTTGTAGAAATGCGTTTAGTTCAGAGTTGGGAGGAATGCTGCCTGGTGACTGGAGTGAGTGGACTCTGTTTTGGAGGGATACATGCTCTGACGACTACTGGCTAGGGTTTGGCCCTGAGTCAGTTCTTGCCTGACTAGGTGTGACTCTCAGTACTCACTCCATGTGTAGGGTCAAGAGATTAATGCTCTAGGCCCAGCCTTGCCCTCTGGGTTCACAGTCCCCCGGTGTGATGGGCTAGCTTGGAGGCAAAGCGAGTGGCCTCTGTGAAGACGTTCATCTGCCCCACTCATCTGTACAGGGCTTATGACGATGTGGCAGATGATAGTGGTGAGCTGATGGAGGAACGACCCCCGTTCCCAGCTGTGACAGCACCCCTGGCCCAGCCAGAACGAGGCAGCTTGGGTAGCCTGGAGCGGGTGGTGCGGCGTTCACCCTCTGTCGACAGTGCCCGCAAGGAGCCACGCTGGCGAGACCCTGAGCTGCCAGAAGTACTGGCTATGCTGCGGCACCCTGTGGACCCTGTGAAGGCCAATGCAGCTGCCTACCTGCAGCACTTGTGCTTTGAGAATGAGGGCATCAAGAAGCGTGTGCGGCAGCTACGGGGGCTGCCACTGCTTGTGGCTCTACTGGACCACCCCAGGGCAGAAGTGCGGCGCAGGGCCTGTGGGGCACTGCGGAACCTCTCCTATGGCCGGGACACCGACAACAAAGCTGCCATCCGGGACTGTGGTGGTGTGCCTGCCCTGGTGCGCCTGCTGCGGGCTGCCCGGGACAATGAGGTTCGAGAGCTAGTCACTGGTGAGTGACTCCTGGCTGCCTTCCATTCCCTGGGAAGAGAGAAGAGCAAGCTTGGCCTGGGGGTTGGTATGCACCATGGGTCTTTCGGCCAGGGAAAGCACCCTGTTATTCAGGAGTTTCAGCTGCTTTAACTGGTCCCCAGTCTCTACTTCTAGACATTGCTGCTGCAGGTAGGACTGGCACTGGGACCCTCAGGCCAGCCTCCTCCCTACCTGCCCTCATCTTGCCACTTTGGCTCCACACTACCCTCACCGTGCATTAGTGGAGATTGCACCTAGTGGGACCCTAGTCACATGACCATCAGAGTGGTCCCGTGGCCGCAGAGGCATTAGTCCCACCCACCCAGGTGACTAAGATGGGGGTGGGGGAGATGGCACCCATGTGTCCATTCCCAGGCTGCCTGCCAGCCCCTGTGGACCACCTGGAGCTGCTAACTGGGTGTCCCAAGCCGGGCCAGGTGTTTAGGATCTCCCATGACCTTTGTCACTTCTGGTGCCAGCTGTGGCATGATAGAGACTGGGCATCTACTGAGCAGCGTTGTGGGGAGGTGGGAAGGGTCATGCTCATGGTTAGCATGAGTCATTGGTGCATCCCATAGGCACACTTTGGAACCTGTCATCCTACGAGCCCCTGAAGATGGTTATCATTGACCATGGACTACAGACGCTAACCCACGAGGTCATTGTGCCCCATTCGGGCTGGGAGCGTGAGCCCAATGAGGACTCTAAGCCGCGGGATGCTGAGTGGACAACTGTCTTCAAGAATACCTCAGGCTGCTTGAGGTGTGGGCCGGGCTGGGTGCTCTCGGGGCTGTTCAGTGGACTGTGCCTGCTCAGGAGGCAGGCATCAGGCCTCATTGCGGGCTTGCCCCTCCAGGATTGGGACCCTGTCTTAGTGACAGCCACATCGTTGTGACCCAGTAACATGAAAGTTAGCTGCCCAAGTCTTAGGAGCTTCTAAACCTTGTCACATTTTTTCCCCAAGTCTTGAGAATAGAGTCTAAAGGGGCTTTGTTGACCCCTAAGGGTACTCTGGACAAGGTGTGCTGCCCTTTGTGTGATACCCAAGGATTCCAGTTCTGCCCAGCTTGACTGTACCCTCTTGTCACTGTGGCATTCAGAGGCAGGGAGGCCAGGACCCTTTCTCCAGTGTTCAGAGGCCTCATACTATCTCCTTGTGATCCCTGCCCTCACTCTTATCCTGTAGATACCCCCAGATAGTCCTGGGTGCCCATAATTCTGTCTGTCCCACAGAACATGCCAATGTAGCCCTTTGGGTCCCAACAGTGCAAAGCGAAGCACAGAGGTGCCACTGGAGTGGGGGCAGGGGGAGGCCAGAATTGTTTGTGCATCAACTCAGACCTCTGAACATACTTTTTGTCCCTTTCTAAATCAGCTGGTAATCAGGGATGCCTCCCCAACCCCCAGAGATGCCAGGCCTGAACTCTCTCCTAAGGTCTTAGTAGTCAGGCCTCTGCTGTCCACCTGCCTTGTATTCAGGCTGGTAACATCTGCCCATAGGCCCAACAGGGCAATATTAGGGCCTATGTTGCAGATGAAGACAGATCCTGAAGCTGTGTGGGTTGGGGGTAGTTCCCAAGGGAGCCAGGGGTCACCTGGCTTGCTCTTGGCCACTAGGAACGTGAGCTCGGATGGTGCAGAGGCCCGGCGGCGACTCCGGGAGTGTGAAGGGCTGGTGGATGCACTCTTACATGCCCTACAGTCAGCCGTGGGCAGGAAGGATACGGACAACAAGGTGGCTGGCAGGGCAGGGCGGGTCCTGCAGGTTGTAGGCCTGGGCAATCTCTCACAGTCTCCCTTACAGGGTAGGGGAGACAGGAGAGGAAGGGGGCCCCAAAGGATCTGAGTTGTCTGGGTGGCATAGAGGGGAAGGACCCTGGGTGACAGCCACCTTGTAGTGGCTAACCTGTAAGGCGGGCAGGAACTGAGTCCTGGGCAAGGTCCTGCATGTGGTAGTTACTCCATCCTTCCCTCCTTTGACTCCTCCCTGGCAGTCTCATCCATGAGGGCCTCCAGCTCAGGCCCTCCCATCCTATACACCACTCCCCTTGGTGCACACTGACTGACCAGTCTTCTCTTGGAGGGTCAGCAGTCTCCATGGTCATGTGGCCCTTCCCCACCAGCTCTCCTCTCCTCACAGTCGGTGGAGAATTGCGTGTGCATCATGCGGAACCTGTCCTACCACGTGCATAAGGAGGTGCCAGGGGCCGATAGGTACCAGGAGACTGAGACTGGGCCCCTGGGTGGCGCTGTGGGCTCCCAGCGCCAGAGGCGGGATGATACCGGCTGCTTCGGTGGCAAGAAGGCCAAAGGTGTGTGGTTGGGACTGGGGTTCTGCTCTAGGAGACCCTCCCACCCCGGGCTAAAGGTTTTCTATTCCCAAGGCTGTTACAGAGGCTGGAGGACATCCAGTCAGTTGTGGACAGACAGTCAGGGAGCCTAGGAGGGCATGCAACCCTGGGGCATCCAGCTGGTAGACCCAGCATTCCCCATTTTTACTGTGGACCCACAAGGAAGGACAGGAGTGAACCCTCATGGTGTTCCTAATGGTGTCTGGATCCAGTCTCAGCTCCAGGAAGAGTTCTGTGGTCCCAGTTGTGAAAATGTCAAAGATGGTGCCACCTTCTGATGTTGCAGGGCATGTGCAGGCCCTGGATGCCCCAAGGGCAGCATTTCACTCTGCCCGCACTAGCATCTTCCAGGCTGTGCACTGTGCACTTTTGGCTCCCAAAAGTAATCTGTCAAAATTCTATGTCCTGCCTGCTCAACTCAGCATGTGCAGTGAAAATTGTGGCTTCCCAGGAGGGCTTGGGGTGCTACCCACTTAGGCTCATCTCCTCTCTCCTGTGCTTCCTCCGGCTGCCCAGAGGAGTGGTTCCATCAAGGTGAGTCCCTGTCTGTCCTACTGTCCAGATCTGCCAGGTGCAGAATGTCAGGCCTGGACTGGTTGGAGACCAAGTGGCTGTGCCCATCTGTAACTTCAGATTGGGCAGCCCAACAGGACTGGCCCTGGAGCTGGGGCAGAGCTCAAGTGGGCTAAGATATGTCTGTCTTCATTGGACCAGAGAGCAGAGGCTGCCCCTCCAATGAAATAGGGTAAGGTATGGCAGAGGGACCATGAGACTGGACAGGGGTCCCAGGTCATCTGAACTGAGCTCTACTGCCTTCCAATGGAGGATATGCTCCCTTGTTGAGATGGGAGGGTGAGGCAAGTAGGGGAGGTCATGAACTTTCATGGAAGTGTGTAGGCTGAGACTGATAGGTATTGGGTGCGTCCGCTGTAGGGGCTGGGACTATGGGTGGAGGCCTCTCCTAGCCAGCAGAACCTTTGATTGAGTCCTGGCTTCAGACAAGGACAAGTTTCTCTGTAAATGGGACTCTTGGCTCCAGCCCTGCCTTGCTGTGTGACCAGGCATGTCCTGTTCTTTTCAACCCTCAGCTTTACTGCATCCATCTGCCCCCTCAGCCTGGCCCCAGTCTCCTCAGTTTACACACCAGGCAGCCACAGAGGACCGTGGTAGTAGGGGTGGGTGTGTCAGCTTCCAGCTGACAATGCAGCTTCCAGCAGTGATGAGTCCTGAGTGTTCGGAGCAGGAGTAGGATGCCCCCAGATCCTACTGCCACTATTGTCCTGCCTGGGGCTGATCTGCCTGCCTGAATGCAGAATGGGGCTCTGTCCTTAGAGCCTCTTGGTGCCCAGTCCTGGACATGGGGGTACATTTTGATATCTGGGCAGGAAAGAGCTATGTCCGTCCTTCCTGACATAAAATTATCCCTTGGCAGGGTCTACCTCACTTCTCACTGCCCTTCTGTTCTAGGGAAGAAAGATGGTGACATGGACCGGAACTTTGACACTTTGGACCTTCCCAAGCAAACACAGGCTGCCAAAGGTCAGTAGGCAGAGTTGAAGTCCAAGCCCAGGACTGTGTAGGTAGTGAAGCTTGTTCCACCAAACAGGCCCAAAGGGCCATGGGGATCTTGTGGGGAAGCAGAATCACAGGTGTGGGGACCCACAGAGGACTGTGTAATCTCTGGGCACCTACTGAGGGTTCACAGTTAGGGTCAGTGGCATGGGTCAATTTAGACAGCATGGGGGGCAGAGGCATAGAAGTCAGGCATATGAGAGGCGGGCGAGGATTAGAGTGAGTCCCACAATAAGAGTAAGAGCCAGTCAGGCATGTTCTCCACTGTCAGCCAAAGAGCTCAGGTTCACTCTGGAGGGGGTTCAGCCAGGATGGTACAGTTGGATCCAGTATAGGCTGAACCAGGAGATCCCTACCCACAACTCATGGGGATAGAGTGGTACTTGCTCCTCATCCCTCATGGCCATTGAAATCCTACTGTGTGCTGGCACTGTTCTGGGCACTGAGCACTGGAAGTCAGCCTGAGTGAGAGGACTATCCTGGTGAGCACAGACCACCGCCAACCCTATAAGCCCTCATCCCTAAAGTGGGGTGGAAAGACCCAGTTGCAGAAAGTAGGGGAAAGCATCACCACGAGAGGGACCAGCTTATACAAATGGTGGGGGGATATTAGAGTTTTGGGGGAACATTAAAAAAAGCCCTGTGGAGCTGAAGTGGAGAGAGCATGGGCCTGAATACTGGGAAGGGGGATGAGATGACAGGTGGGAGGACATGTAGAGAGCCAGGCAGGCAGAAGCCCTAGTTGGGGACAGACTGACCCTAGAGCAGCATGGGGTCAATCTGCTGCCAGGCAGGGTCTCAACTGCAGTGGGATCAGGATGGTAGGCCTGCTCAGACAAGGGGCAGGGGCCTGCTGCTAGGGGCCCAGCTCTGGTAACTCAGCCTCAATAATATTGTGAGGAGACCTTGTTGCTAGGGAACATGGGTTTTGTTGGTAGGGCAACACCTCTGGTTGCCATCTCCTTCCATCCCAGGCCTCCCGGAAGCTCAGACTGCCAGCGACCCAATTCCATTTCTTTGACAGCAAGGTCAAGGGAACTGCTTGTCAAAACCCACAGTCTCTTCACTGAGCCTGTTTGTTCCTCTGTGAAATGGAAATACTTTCCTCTGGGGTGGCCATAAAGAGTTAACTTGTTGATACTAAACATACTCTGACTGTATCACATCCAGCCCTGGGTCTTGGGAGCCCTGAGCGGGGGTGAAAGGAAGATGGGCTGAGGGGAAGGTCTGAGTTACCATGGATGCCCTGTTCCCAGGCTTTGAGCTGCTGTACCAGCCTGAGGTGGTACGTCTCTACCTCTCCCTCCTCACTGAGAGCCGGAACTTTAACACCCTCGAGGCTGCTGCTGGTGCCCTACAGAACCTCAGCGCTGGCAACTGGATGGTGAGAGACCAAGTCTGCTAGGGAGGGGACAGAGAGGGAATCCCTAGCATCACATGGTGCCTGCCCATGCCCTAGGCTGTGGTCAGGTGGGTGTGGGAGAGGAGGAGACACACCACCTCCCCCAAGGTCCAGGAGGTTCAGGACACGCAGTGGAGAAGGAGTTGAGTTGCCAGGGTAGGACTTTGCCTGTGCAGCTGGAGGGAGTGTTCAGGGCTCGGGTGGGAGTGTCCAGCCTGTGTGGGACAACTTCGTGTGCTGAGCACACTCCTCCACTGCTGCCACTGCCACAGTGGGCCACATACATTCGTGCCACGGTACGCAAGGAACGTGGACTGCCAGTGCTCGTAGAGCTGCTGCAGTCTGAGACCGACAAGGTGGTGCGTGCCGTTGCCATTGCCCTTCGCAACCTATCGCTGGACCAGCGCAACAAGGACCTTATTGGTGAGGATGCCTGTGAGGCAGAACCCAGATGGAGAACTGGGTGGGTGGCTTGGGGTTTCCCCTGGTGGGCACTGGGCGGCCTTGGTGGGGATCTTCAGCTCATAGCCTTCCTGATGTGGTCGGGACCTAGCCCCTAGCACACCGGGGAGCCCCTGCATCGCCCTAGCTGGAATCTGTCCACTTCCCGCCGAGGTGGGGCAGAGGCGTGTCCTCACACCGACCCCACTCCTCAGGGAGCTATGCCATGGCAGAGCTGGTGCGGAATGTGCGCAGTGCACAGGCTCCAGCCAGACCTGGTGCCCGGCTGGAGGAGGACACAGTGGTGGCGGTGCTCAACACCATCCATGAGATTGTGTCCAACAGTCTGGACAATGCCCGCTCACTCCTGCAGGCCCGAGGCGTGCCTGTGCTGGTGGCACTGGGTGCAGCCAGGTGAGTGGAGCCAAGGCCCTGGGAGAATGGGGTGGTATGGTGGGTTGGGTGGACAAGATGCTGAGCCTGCGCCGTGGTTGTAGCCAATCCGTGCGTGAGGCGAAGGCTGCGTCCCACGTGCTACAGACAGTGTGGAGCTATAAGGAGCTGCGTGGGGCCCTGCAGAGGGATGGCTGGTCCAAGGCCCGCTTTCAGGTATAGCTGCTTTCCTTTTCTCCTTCACTCCGCAGGCGGGGTCCCCCAAGGGAGTAGCCTTGACCTCACCCCTGTCTGTTTTGTGCCTCCCCAGTCAGCTACTGCTAACACCAAGGGTCCTAAGGGAGCAGCGAGTCTGGGCGGCTTTGAGGATAGCACACTTCCACTGGTGGACAAGAGCCTTGGTGAGTGAGGTGGAGGGCATGGGAACCTATCAGTTGGGTTTGACTGACTCCCTCAACCCACACTGTTGACAGTACGACCAGAGAGGGTGGAGGAGGGCCGATGTCTTCCAGGAGATGGCCCCAGGATTGCGGAGAAGAGTTTCCCATTGTCTTCATCTGTCCACATTGGTGCCAAACTGGGGGTGGGGGCAGTGGGGCCACTGGGCAGAGGCCCAGTAGAAGGGGGCAAAGATGTTAGTGACAGAGGGCACCAGGGGTTGACGTGGACTTGTCCACTTGCCCCACTCCCACTCCTGCTTGCAAGTAGCCAGCGCCTGCCTTATACCTTGCAGATGGTGAAAAACCTAGTGGCCAGGATGTGATACCCCTGGAGACTCTGGGCCCAGGTAAGTGCAGGGAGGAGGCAGGGACCTGAGATGACCAAGTGGTTTTGAATTTTGTGCTAGGAAGGCCTTTGAAGGAGCTGCTGGTAGGATGAGAGATTTATTTTTAGGGTGTTCAGGGGAGCTCTTCTGTCTGCTTGTGCCTATGCAGGTGCCTTTCTTTTTCTTTCCTCTTTTCCTAATAAACCTGTCCTTTTAAAATGTTAAAAAAAAGAATGGTGTCTATGGAATGAGGGGTAGCCTAGCCAGGCAGTGTTGGTGCCCAGCCTAAGGTCTGTTCTCTGAGCGGGGTTTGGAGGGTCTCGGTGAAGAGCTGGCATAGGCCCCCTGATGGTGATGGGCAGGGCCCCCTATGATGAGATGGGGGTCTTCTTCCCATGTGTGCCCTTCAGAGTCCCTCTTATTCCCCCAATCCACAGATGGATACTCCACCACAGACCGGAGGGAGCGGAGGGCTCGAGGCAGTGACCCTGCAGGGGAGGTTTCTGAGAAGGAACCATTGAAAGTAAGTGGCTGTGGGCAGGTACCCAAGTTGGTGACATAGGGTCCAGTGGCTCCTGGAAAGGAGCCAGGCAAGATACTGGGTTCTGGCTGGGTGGGCCACTGGACACGAAAACCACAGCCAGGAGCAAGGCCTCTGGCCTTGGGAACCTCAAGTCAGATTCAGTCTGTGGATGTAGATGGTTCAAGTTCCTACCCACAGGGAGGGAGGTGGCATGGAACCAAGGCCACTGCCCAGGGTGGGGGAAGCCTGAGCAAGTTTGCATACCCGTCTCTGCATGTGTGTGTGGATGAAGGCTGCTGCAGTCCCATTTCCAGGGCAGAAGTTGTCACCTTCTCTTTGCTGATCCCTTGACTTCAGGCACAGCCATCTGTGTCTGCGTGTCACTCTGCATCTGTGTGAGCCGCACTGGCTAGCTACCCTTTGCCTTCAGTCCTGCCCTTGTGTCTACCCCTGCTCTGTCCCCATCCCACTGACCGGTGTCCCCCTCCCCAGGTCAACTAACATGCTCTTTTTTGCCTCTAATGCTCTCTGCCACCACCTATCTGCTGCAGCCCGACCTTGGCAGGAAGGTCCCTCCTCCTGGGCCCAGCAGGCCCACAGTCAGGCTGGTGGACGCCGTGGGGGACACTAAACCTCAACCTGTTGACTCCTGGGTCTAGCTTGCATGCCTGGTACGTTCTCACATTGGTTTCTTGTCTTCTGGACCTTGAGCATCTTGTCTCTGCTGGCTGCATGCTCTGCTCTCCCAGCAGGACCCCTCCTCCAGCTCAGCAGGTCTGATGCCCACCTTAGGGAAGGGCACATTGGGGTCAGAGAGGGAGGGGTCTCCTTGGCCTGCACCTCCAGCCCAGGCACAGTTCTGTAGGGACCAGGAGATAGGGCCAGAGCAGGGATGGGTGCCCTTATACTTGCAAATACCCCAAGCATAGGACCCCCAAGGACCAAACAAGTTGGCTTGGCCCTGGTGCCAAGACCCTGGGATTGGTAGCTCCCACCCCAGCGGCTGCCTTTTTGCCCATTTCCATCCCCCTTGACTGTGGAGGCAGCCACCCAGCCACCAGGCTGCTCTGCTCAGCGTTACCCTCTCCATCCTCAGGGCCCGGGCCCAGCCATCTGTTCTTAGGGATCTGATCACAGGGAGAAGGAAACTTCTGGGCCGTCCTGCGCAGACCTTGCTGTGGCACTTGGAGCCCCCTTGCGGCAGGGCTTGGCAGTACCTCTTGCTGAGCCAGGCCAGACTTTCTGGACACATCTTCCTGCCTCTTCCTTGCTCCCTTCCTTTCTCCCCTCTAGGTCATGCTGTGTGTGTGTGTGTGTGTGTGAGAGAGAGAGAGACAGACAGACAGACAGACAGACTTACCAGGAAGGCTGCAGGAAAGGGTACCTGACTGCTTTGGGGTTGCCAGTAGGAACGTGTGCTCCTATCTATGCAGTGCCCCTGAGGGCTGGCAGCTGGGCCGTGAGGAGGGTCCTCTACCTAGGAGGGCCCTAGGTTTCCCCTTGCATGGCCAGCAGACCATGGATTAATGGCTGCTTTAGTGAGACTGTCCCAGACAGTGAAGCTTTGGAGGCAGTGAGTTGGGGGTCAGGCTGTGCTTGTCCCCATCCCGCCCTTGGATAGGTAGAGCCCCAGTTTAGTGAAGCCTTCCCTGTGGCCTTGGGCATCTGAATAGCACCTCTGGAACTGACTGTTGGTAACAGGCAGGGACTGCTGTTCAGTGCCTGCTGTTTATGACTTAAAAACAGAAGAAAATAACTGGCAAAAATAATTAAAAACAAATCCATATTATGACTGGTTATTGGTTAACATCTAAATTTTTGTAAGAAAATTTAAAAATTAAAATAGCAACAAAGGAACTTCTGTCCTCTGTGCCTCAGATCTCTCAATACAAGCTACTTTTTCCTGTTTATGGGTGGGGAGAGGGCTGAGGTGGCCCCAAATGACTGCTGTATTGAGGGTCTCAGCTCCCAGGCCCCTGGGTGTTTCTCTATATCAGGCTTACTGTGATACCTTTTCTGTGCACAAAGAGGAGTCCATTTGCTCCTGATAGTTAGCTGGACCCTGAGCCTGTGGGTGGTATCCCAGTGTCTGGGACCTCAGCTGGGTCCTTGGGGAGCCTGAGGTGGCCAGCAGCCCAGCCATTCAGGGGCCTTGGGGCTAGAGGGCCAGGGTGGGGACTGGGGGCAACTCTGGCTTTGGGTAAATGCAAACTAGGTGCACTTCATAACTTGCCAACTGGGCAGCCTGAACCCACTCCCTCTTCCAGAAACAAGGCCAGGTGGGCCTGGTGAATGCATCACCATTCAGGGCCAGCTGGGGGGGACCCAGGCCCCATGGAGCTGTGACTGGGCCTTTGGCCACAGGAGCAGTGCTGAGCAGGGCTGGCTTCCCCTCCACTGCTATGGCTGGGAGCCCTTGGGCAGGCAGCATCCAGTCAAGGGGAACATGGTACGTTTGGTGCCAAAGCTGAGGGTATCAAAGGAAAGGAGAAGCATAGTGGTTGAAGCACAGAGTTCATGTTGTATCTAAATATTTAGATCTTTACTTCTATTTTAATATCCTTTAAACATGATACTGCATATAAGATTATTAATAGCTAGTCAGTTTTAGTAAAGAAGTTGTATTTCCTTCTTAAAAAGGAGGTGAAAGAACTGCAGTGTGCTCTGAGTTGGCTCGTGGCCACTCCAAGGAACTACTGCCATTGGTGGCAGCATACCTCAGGAACAGACTTGAGTGCACTCCCACAGACCCAGATGTTCCCAGCCCCCTGCTATTTCCTGTGTGGCTCTGTCCATACCTGAGGACGGCCTGTGTAAGAAACCCAACTAGAATGCTGGTGGGGACGAGTGATATCATCAGTGGGATTTGCTTTCCACATTTATTGCAGTGATTTTGCATAGTGAGCCATTTGCACTTGGGGGTAGGCAGTATTGACAGTCTGGATCCACTGTGTAGACGGGCCAGTGTGGACCAACCTGGGCATACACGCCTCAAGTGTCCTATGTCAGGGGCAGACCCCAGAACTGCAGAAGTGGGACTGGCAGGAGCATCTCTACCATACTCTTCATAACCAGGTTTAGTAAGAGAGCCGAGAGTAGGGCGGGCAGTTAAGGCCTTGCCGGGCTGCCTGGGCCCAGATAAATGACCTTTTCCAAGCCATCCGCCACCATCTGTGAGTATTCCAGGTAAGAGGGGAAGTGCGTGCACTCAAAGCGGCTGCTCCCACGAACATGTGCCAGGAATTCCGGTGCTCCTGGGAAAATGACGTTATCAGCCAGCAACACTGTCCCTTTTTGTAATAGGCCATACTCCTACAGGAAACAGACAGTTGGAGGGGGAGAGGGTGAGGGTGACCGGTGAGCCATACCCAAACCAGGATAGGGGCTCCTGGCTAGGTGGGGAGGTTCCAGTGGCCTGTGCATGGTCTGGAGTCAGCTGCAATCTAGCTCCTGGGGTCACACCAGTCTCTCCACTGTCTTCCATCTCTCCCAGCAGTGACCACTGCAGGAAGAGGCTTTGCTGAGCGTAGACACATCCTCAGCTCTGAGAATCTTTTGTTCCTCTGTTAACTCCTGTATCCCCAGTGCCTACAACTGCATGAGGCACTTAGTAGGTATTCACTTAGTGCTAGTAGATGAGTGAGGTGGGGCAATATGGAGCCAGAATATGGGCCACAGTACCAGCTTAAGACCAGTAGGATCCCCTGTCTCCTGGTATCAGAAACACGTGGCTTTTCCAGGTGAGAGATACCTGGTACTGGGTATCTGGTTGTCAGTAGACCAGGGTGGCCATGAAGGGCTAGGGGAGAGAGAGCAGACCTCCTACCCACGTCTCCTCCCCCAGGGCTTCACTCTGGACATCGCCAAGCTCTGGTATTTGAGACACCCGATGTTCATCAATGCCTGGGCAACTGGCTGGCATTCCTGAGCCTGGGCTCTGTGTAGAGAGGAGGAAGAACAGCTGGGTACAGCTATGATAGTACCCCCTGGGCCCACTGTCTCTAACTGGGAGGAGCTTTTTAGATTATGGGGAGCAGTAAGACAAGAAACCTGAGGAATTTTTTGTGGGTACAGGGGAAACAGGTGTGTCAGGCTAGGCCGAGAGATGCCCTAGTCACATTGTCTGATCTGACTTTGGAAGCATAGGCTTTTTAATACATAATCATAAAATAAAAATAAACAGTAATCGCCAAGATTGAAAGCAAAATCAAACAAGTGACTCCAGGTGTGTCTCAAAATTGCCGGCAGGCCCACATGCACAGGGCATGACCAAGTGACCTAAAAACATGGAGACTTAGCTCCACAACCCTCCCGGGATGTGCCTAGGACAGCCTTACAGGGGTCTCGGCTGTCCTGGTGGTGGCTGTAGTAACTTCCTTCCTGTTGTGCTGTGGGGGAAGCTATGGCCCTCAGAGTCATGGCAAACATATAGCCATGAGATCAGTGATCCAAAGAAAGAATAGTCCAGGAGGAGGCACCTCTAGTCTAGGCCCCAAATGACAGCTCACGTTGGGGGCAGGATATGCATAAGGTAAGTCCTGAGGTAGGGTCCTGCTGGAGGATTGAGGCATCATCACTCGCCACAGGTGGGACAATCCCTAGGTTGTGAAATGCATCTGATACTACAAACCCATGGGTTAGCCATGAAAGAGGAATAAAAGGAAGAGAGCAACTTTGGTCACCTTGGAAGGAGCTAGGGCCCACCCATCCCTGAAGAGGCTGTTCATAAGGGGGCAGAAGGCTGTACCGTTCCCTGGCATCACAGACCCTAGATGCCCCCCTGGAGAATTCTGGCCAGAGATACAGCCTGTCTTGCTCTTGTCATGGGGAAGAAACACGATGCATTTCAACTGCATGAAGGGCCCCTGACTCTACCTCTCCCATTGGTGTAGGCCATGCTTTGCAAAGGAAGAGGAAGTGACAGTTATGGCTTTAGAGCCTACACAAATCCTGGCTCCCTCTTGGCCCTTTCTATCTCTGTCTCTCCTCTGGCTCTGGGGAAGTCAGCTGCTGCCATGTTATCCTTGTGAGCAGGGACTGAGACCTCCTTAAAGGGACCATCCTAATTTGAATTGCCATCCACCCTGCCATCTCCTCAGCCTCTTACTTCCAACTGAAGGGAGGGCTGCAGGGCCCCATGTTGAAAAAATACAATCATCCCTAATTCATGACTTCTCTTCTTTTGAGATAATTACCAGCTTTGAGCAAGCACCACTAGAAAATTATTAATTTCCTAGTTGCTAAATGGCAATATTTGCTGCTTTTCTATAAATGCAGGCCCCTGTAATTATTACACACTAAAGCTGCTGAAACTCTGTTTTCCCTGCAAGCAGGCCCAGCTGGGTTGGCCACCTGGTCTCTGTGCTCAAGTCCTGATTGCCAGGTCTGTGCCCCTCTGCCCTGGGGTGGGCATCCCCTACCCAGGCATGCTCCTCACAGCTGCCCACTCCTAGCCTGTGGATCTCCCTGCCGTTCCCCCACTGCTTGCCCCTCTTTGCTAATGCAGGCCCCTATCCAATTTCTAGTCCCCAATGCCCCTCCGATGACCACCTCAGCACCTCTCTGGGGTTCCCAGGCCTCTGCACTGCCCTCCCTACAGCCATCCCCCAAGGCCAGTGGCATTCTAACCTTGCTCTCACCAGCCAAAGTCCCCTTCAAAGCTTTCATGCCTCTGTTATAGGCCCTTGCCCACTGCCCCAACATTCTGTGCCCTTTCACAACCACCCCTCCAGTACTGCTCCCCTCCCACTATGACCAGCACCTGGCCCTCCATACCCACACCCTAACCACTTGGGCAGGGGCTGGGTCAGGGCACATAGCTCTTCAGAGACTGAGGTCCACTGGCCAGGTGGCCCCTGTGCTTGCAGCCAGCTCCAAGGCCCATATTAGACCATATGGCTCACCTCCAGCAGGAGCGTGTCTGGCAGGTACCGGTCCTTCCAGTGATCAAGGAAGACCATGTCCAGTGTGTCCACGTCACATTTCTTCTTTAGCTGGGGGATGATGTCTTGAGATGCCCCAAGGATAACAGTGACCTGGAACAGTGCTGTCAGTGACTGTACCCAGAGGGGGCAAACAGACCACCCAGCCTAGACAACCACACAAGTATCTCCCAACAGTTTTGTGGTTCTGGGGAGATGCGTCCCTGTGCTCTACCCTCCTCCCTCCAGGGGCAGCCTTAGGACTTTCCTGCTCCATGGAATAGGGTATGTGCCCTGACCCAGCCCCTGCCCAAGTGGTTAGGGTGTGGGTGTGGAGGGCCCTCTGCAGAGGGTTCTGTGAAACCTGGCCTGGGAGGCACCTTGGAGCATGACCCTTTGTCTTGCCTTCAGTGTCCACCTCAGTCACCCAGGTTGAGTATTGTACCCTGTCCTGCAGGCCTGCAAAGTCCAGCATCTGCTGGGTGATGGTGGCGTAGTCGGGGTTGAACTCGATGGTGAGCAGTCGGGCACCAGGAGGTAGCAGGCGGCCCATACGGACGGCTGAGTAGCCACAGTAAGCCCCCAGCTCCAGCAGCACTCGGGGTTGCTTTTCCCGCACCACAGCATCTACAATCTCTCCTGTGGTGGATGGGGTGAGGGTGAGTGCCCCAGAGGAGGGAGCAGGGCTGCTCCCAGACCTGGGCCTGCTTCTTTCCAACTGAGCAACAGCCCCTGCAATGTCTGCCTCAGCCTTCCCCCCCCCAGACCCCAATGCACACATTCTCCGAGTTCTCTCAGGCTTGTGTGGCTTTGTACACATTGGGCCCTCTCTCCTACCATTCCTGACTAACCCCAACTCATCCTAACCCAGAGTCACCTTCTGTGGATGCCCCACCTCACACTGCCCAAGTGCTGCACTTGGCACCTTCCTGGCTATCTCGATCTAGACACTGAGGTGTCTGGGCAGTGGGGGTCACATCCACCCTGGGGGCTGAGTCCAGCACATGACTGTGCTCAGGCTGGAGTCCAAAGGTTGGGACACACCCTCAGGGGAGGGCCCAGGGTCTGGGTGAGACAGAGTCCAAGGGGTCCCACACACTCATGCTCCGCTAGGACTCAGGAACCCCCTGCCCACCCTATGCTGACACCCAGCTCTGCTGAATGGAGCCCTAATATCACCACTCACCAGTGTTGGCTGAGCTGGATGGTGGCAAGGGAGCCCTGAACCATGGTTTTTGTCAAAATTTGTTCCTCCCCATGGGAACAACAATACAGAAGAGGAGTCATAACAGGTCTTTCCCACATGAACTGTGCAACCCAGCCTGGGGGCCCTATTCCACGCCCACTACCTATAAGCCAGGCCATCCACATTTTTTAAGCCCCCCTCATTCAGTCCCTCCCTACCCACCTTTTTTGTTGCCCACGTTCATGGCCCATTCCTTCTGAGAACAGTAGGCATCGATAGCCTCTATCACACTCTGTGGGTCCCCGGCTACAGCATGCTGCAGCACATGGCGCAGGATGCGCTGCTCCTTGCTGTTGCCCATGAGCAGGTTGCAGACGTTCTGCAGGACCCACTCATTCCATAAGACAAAGAGTAAGCCCCGGCATCTCAAAAAGAGCAGCAGTGTCAGCAGCAACAGGCCCAGCAAGAGGGTTGCCAGCAGTAGGAATGAGGCCTCCAGCATCTGTGATAGGACGGGTGGGGTGGGAAGAGGAGAAAGGGGGAAGGAGAGCAGGCTTTTGAGTTTGGTGGCTGGCCAGGTAGCCCGCGGCCAGCAAGGCCTCTCCACAGCATTAGTGCAGGCCTGCCCCAGCTGGCCCCTCCATCCACTCTTCAATTTTGCAGTGCTAGTATTGCCAACCTGGTGCTGATGGGGGCCCAAGGCTCAAGAGGCTCACCATATACCCCAGTTGCCTAGGCCATGACAATGCTGGGGTAGCCAGGGAACCCTCCCCGCCCCCCTTCCCTGATCCGAACAGCTTCCTGCTCCTGGGCCCACACTTCAGGTGAACGGAGGTGGTGTGGATCTGGCAGACCCCTGGTGGTGAGCCGCTGTCCTGACTGCAAAGGGTACAGACCCATAGCCACTCTCCTGGGGGTCAGCCACACAGGGTGTGTCTGTCCCCATCACAAAGAAGGACAGCCCTGCCTCTTGTACCAGAGTGTGACACTTCAAGCTATACTAGCCAGTTACAGTCATGTGAATTCCTCCTGGCAAACAATAATTTGGACAGTAGCCCAAGCTACAATCTCCCCGTCAGAGGAGATTGGCCCCAGGGTCCCTGGAGACATAGCAAGGCTGAACACCTTGGCGGTGGGCCTTCTGGCCAGCTCAGAGAAAGTTCACAAAATTTAGGGCAATGTTCATGACTTCAGGCCAGAGAGCTTAGCATATAGGAAAGGATGAAATAGGAACATGCTTTACCCAGGCTGGTGCGACTCAGTTTCACTCACGGGAAAGGGTCTCAGGATACAGCTTCCTGAGAACCCACATATGGAAAAACATCTGGGACAATAGGCAGGGGAGACCCCTCGAGAACAGCTCAGGACTCCAAACCCCAATGCCCTAGACAAGAAGGGGGCTCGACAGACAGCAGTGGATGCACAGGAAAGCTAAGGCCTGCCCCAGGGGCAGTGTGAACACTCAGACTTCTAGGGGAACTTTAGCAATGTGGCCTATTACACAAGGCAGAGTGAACATGAGTTCAGCAAATCAGAACTGTACATACAATGAGCCCGAATCCTTAGTTCACGCCCCTGCTCTTCTCTGCTCCCAATGGCAGTGGAATCTTAGATGTAGTACCAGTAGCCAGGCAACAAAAGAAAAATAGGGAAGTCGAATTTTACTAAAATGAAAAACTTCTGCATCAAAGGATATTATCAAGGGGGCCAAAGTGCAACTCCAGAAGGGAAGAAAATAATTGCATACCTGATACAGGTTTAAGATCCTACATATATAAAAAACTCCTACAATGCAACAACAACAAATAACCCAATTAGAAAATGAGCAAAAGATTTAGATAAGCATTTCTCCAAAGATAGATACAATGGTCAGTAAGCACAGCAGCACTAGCCATTAAGAAATTGCAAGTCAATAATCACAAAGATCTACAAAGAGCTTATGAGACTCACCAAAAACAAAGTAAACAATCCAGTCAAAAAATGGGCAGAAGAGCTAAAAAGACACTTCTCCAACAAGGAAATGCAAATGGCCAACAGGCATGTGAAAAAATGTTCAACATCACTTGTAATCAGGGAAATGCAAATCAAAACCACAATGAGATACCACCTTATACCAATGAGAATGGCACATATTTAAAAAAGAAAACTAGCAACAACAAATGTTGGTGAGGATGTAGAGAAAAAGGAACTCCTACACTTCTGGTGGGAGTACAAACTGGTCCAACCACTATGGAAAGCTATGTGGAGGTTCCTCAAACTACTAAATACGGAGCTTCCATATGACCCAGCAATTCCACTCCTAGGAATCTACCCAAAGGACACCTGCACCCCTATGTTTATAGCAGCACTTTTTACAATAGGTAAGCTATGGAAATAACCCAAATGCCCAAAAAATAGATGACTGGATCAAGAAGATGTGGTGTATATATACATAATGGAATATTGCTCAGCAATCAAAATAGATAAGCTCATGACATTCACAGCAACATGGATGGAGCTAGAAGGGATCATGCTCAGTGAAATAAGCCAGAAAGAAAAAGAAAAATACCAGATTGGTTTCACTTATAGGAGGAATGTAGAGGAAACAGGGATGGGAGGGAGTATAATTATAATAAATTAAAAATAAAATTCAACGGGCAACTATAAGGCAGAGACATTCTGCAGGGGAGGAGGGAGAAGGATCAAAAGGGGTCGGAAGAGCACAAAAGGGACTATGGTGATGGGACACAGGTGAGTTGGTGGTGGGAATTTCATGGGGATGACACCTGAGGGGAGAAAACATACATTGTACAAGAATGATGTTAAATAAATAAATAAATATATATATATATATAAAATGATTAAAAAATTATTAAAAAAAAGGAAAGAAATTGCAAGTCAAAATCACAACGAGATGCCACTTCACAGCCACTAGGATGGCAATTTTCAAAAGCAAACCGTGGGAAATAACAAGTATTGGAGAGAATATAGATGAACTGGAATGTCTATGCATTGCTAACAGCAATGTAAAGTGGTACAGCTGATAACAGGAAAAACAGTTTGGTGGTAACTCAAAAAGTTAAATATAGTATTACTATATTTCCAGCAATTCCGCTGTTAGGTGTATACCCAAAATAACTTGAATTTGGTTCAAGGACTTGAACTGATATTTTTACGCCAATATTCACAACGCATTCACAACAGCCAAAAGTTGGAAACAAGTGTCCATCGATGAATGAATAAATAAATGGGGTATGTCTGTGCAATGGAATATTATTTAATTATTAAAATGAAGCACTAACACATGCTACCACATGGATGAACCTTGAAGACATTATGCTAAATAAAATAAGACAAAAAATACTGATTCTACAAATATGAAATATCTACAGAATATTTAGAATATTCTAGAATATCTAGAATCCAGAGAGAGAAAGAGGAGGACTCCACCTACAGTATGACAGAATAGCAAGGTCCTCATAAACTTTCCTCTAAATACAACTATAGAAAAAATAATTTTGGGGGCCTCCCTGGTGGTGCCAGGGGTTAAGACGCAGCACTATGAAGCTACCCACAGCCACTGCAGGGCAGAAGTTTGATCCCCAGACAGGGAGGTGACCCACATGGCGCAGCAGACCTCTCCTGACTCGCCTGCTGCTCCCCTCAGCAGTGTATCTGCCTGTTCTGTTCCCCACTCTGTCTCTGGTGAATTCTCTCGTACCTCAGTTCTTCTATGCGTAAATAAATAAAAAGAAAAAATAATTTTGCTTTCAGAAAATTTCACTATTTCATCACCAGTGATAGAGAACTGACACATGCAAATCTTTCGCTGAGGTTGGTGACTCACTTTTTTTTTTTTTAAGATTTATTTATTTATACAAGCACTGGGTACAGTCAGAGGCACAGGAGGGTGAGAGAATTCACCAGAGCCAGAGTGGAGAATAGAACAGGCAGAGTGATGAAGTACACTGCTGAGGGGAGCAGCAGGCAGCAGGAGAGGTCTGCGCGCCACTTGGGACCCTCGCCCAGCAGCTGGGGATAGAACAGGTGCTGCAGAGACTGCGGGCAGCTTCGCAACCCAGTGCTCAACCGCTGCGCCACCGGGGAGGCCCTGGTGACTCACTGTTAAGGTGAAGCAGGGAGACAGTAAGGAAGTTGTGGCTAGGGCGGTGGCCTTATCAGCTGAACAAGTGGGACTGGGTATAGATCATATGCCGGGAATTTCATTCATTGAGTGGGAGTGCAGACCTACTCACAGGGCATTGGGATGGTTGGTTCAGCTGCAGAAAATCTGGCTGCTGGCAGCATGGGTGTTGAAGCCCCTCTCAGTCCCCACTGGAAGACCTAAGAGAGACCTGCAATACCTTGTATGTTGTGGGCCTTGCACCACACACACAGAAGAGCAGCAAGGAAGGGGGGGCCTTAGCACTTGGACTCTGAGAAGTAATGAACAGGATTTGCTTTGCAAAGCAAGAGAAAAGTCAACACAGTTCTCTCTGATTGAAATAACCCTTCCCACCACACTGATACAGAATCCATGGACCTCAGCATAGGATCCTCTCTCCTTCACCCTGCCACCAACTTGAACAATACAAACAAACAATATTAGCGTCACAGTGCCCCAACTGGAAAACGCAAAGACAAAACATGCCAAGGAGACAAGCATCTGAATCCAGTTCGGAAAAGTTGAAAGAGAAACATAGAAGTCCAGAGAGCTAGGGCCTCCCCTGGTTGCACAGACGGTTGAGTGCAGCACTATGAAGCTGTCCATGGCCTCTGCAGCGCTGGTTGGATCCCGGCCAGCCAGCGAGGGTCCCACGTGGCGTGGCAGACCTCTCCTGTCACGCCCGCTGCTCCCCTTAGCAGTGTATTTCGTCAGTCTGCCTGTTCTGTTCCCCACTCTGTCTCTGGTGAATCCTCTCACCCTCCCGTTCATCTGGCCTGTACCCCGGTTCGTGTATAAATAAATCTTTAAAAAAAAAAAAAAAAAAAGTCCAGAGACCTATACAACGGACACAGGATTTGAAGACCAAAACAAAGATTTTAGGATAACAGCTCTTTAAAAATCCCAATGAATTTCCAAAAGACAGGCAAAATGGGCAGATGCAGGATCTTAGAAAAGATCCATGAACACAAAGTGTTCTTCACTAAAGAAACGTAAGATATTAAATACACACGCACATGTATGCCTGTTCTACATGAAATGATGACAAATACAGAAAGCATGTTAAATATATTTAAGCTGGTAGGAGAGAAATTTTTGGAAACTAAAGCTACAAGTATACAAATCACCCAAATGCAAGAAAAGAGAATACATAAGACTGAGGAAAAACCAAGAAACTCTACAAGAAGTATCAGACCCCATGGGAAGAGAAAACATGGAAGAGAGTGGAGAGAGAAGGGAGCAGAGTCCCTATTCAAAGAATTAATAGCTGAGACTTAGCCCCAATCCTAAGGAAAGAAATGAACATGGATGTACAGGAAGCCAAAAGAACACCCACATTTCCAAATGCAAAATGACCT